TTGGAATGAGCTTTAGACAGTGGCTGTGGTTTCTGGCCCCTTGTCTCCCATTCTTCTTTGTTTTTAAGAGGCCCAGACATCTTGCATCAAAGTCTTCTTGTCCTTATGGGTCTTACTCCCAGCACAAAGCTATTCCTCTGAAAGGAGATCTAGGGAGGAGGAATTAGGAAATAGAGAGGTAGGAAGGGAGTTGCTAGCATTCCCTCCTCTACACCTTGGCCTATCGACAGCAACCAGGGTAGTAAAACTTTCCCTCCCAGGAAGGTACCCATGGCCTTGACCACAGCAACCAGAGTCTCATCTTGGCTATGCTCCCCAACAAGCCACCCTGCCTCTTCTGTCTAGCATTCCCTGCCAACTCACTCCACCACCAGCTTTCCTGTCATCTGTAAGGCCAGCCTTCATTACCAAGAACCTTTAATTTGTCTGTCCCTGTGTGACTGGTACATCAATCTGGTCACAAACTCCAGGTTGGTAAAGTAATGACAGGGGAGCTGGCTTTCTGCTCCATCTTCATGGTATAACCCAGTATTTTAAGATATGGATGATGTGCAATTTGGGCTCCATATGTAAAAAAAGATACAACCACAATTGGAGTAACTTCAGAGAAAAGCAACCGAAATCATTAACAGATAGAAAACGAGTCTCTTGGACAAAAGAATTAGAGCTGTTAACTCACTCATTTAACCAAATATTTATTTAGCACATACCTTGAGCAAGGCATTGTGCTAGGTCACTTAGATATAATAAGTAGGTAATAGTTTCTGCCCTCTCGACAGCTCTCTAGAAGGGGAGTTCAGGTGCATATGTAAAAATATGAAGCAGGCATTAAGTTTTAAAAATGTAGCACTCAGATTTTTGCTGTGATACTTCTGGAAATGGAACACAGCATTTTCAACTAATTTCATGGAAGTGGTGACATTTCAGGAGATCTGAGGAGTTGGGGAGATTTGAATGGATACAGAAAGAAAAGGCTACTCCAGTCAGAAAGAGCAGCATAAACAAAGACCAAGAGTCAGGGTAAGGTTAGTATTTGGGATTGTTGAAGCTCTGGGTTTGGTGCAGCAGAGGGTATGAAGGCGAATATACAATGGTGCTGTATTATGAAAGACTTTGAATAACAATCTTAAAGAACGTCATTTATACATAAGAGAAACCAGCTGAAAGTTTTAGAATAGGGTAGCCATGTAGAATGGAATGGGCAAGGATAACAGTAAAGCAATACTTTGGTAGGAATGGTTAGTACTTGAACAGGGTCCCTTGCTGTGGCTGGCATTAGCCAGCCCTTTAGCTGCTGGGTCATGAAGCTCTCCTTCATGAACAGGTCAGGGTAGTAGTGGGGCATTCAGAGGGCCTGGGTAGTCACTGTATCCCAACATGTTCATATGTATTTCAGTATTTTAATAACTAGTAAGCTGTACAGGTACATAATCGCTGAAAAGCAGCCCTGGGAACAGACTATATTGGAAGTTAGACTCCATTCTGGCAGGTTTTAACAAGTTATACCCATTTGTTTAGATCGAATTAGCTAAGTCCTGCCTCAGGGCAGAGGTCTGAGCTAAAATGGTATATAGGTTCTTTGCTCTATAATTGATCCGCTGGGACCAACTTGATGCTAGAGCCAAGAGATCATGTTTGGGCACAGAGCCAGGGCTGAATGATAGTGTGTGCCAGCTATCTAGCTCTTGCAAGGCTGGTTCAGGTATGTTCAAATTTAAGTTCCAGG